AAAAAAAAAGCTTTGATATTTTAATGATTTTTTTTTATAATGACAATAAAGGAAATCTCTTTGATCTAATGCAATATCATTTGAATGAGCCTACCTTTGCAATCTGGTCAAACTTGCCAAACAGTTCATTCAACATGTGCACAAGTTCACCTGGAGAGCAGTCACTGGCAAGTCTGGTGAAGCCAACGATGTCAGCGTACAGAATACTGCAGGGGAGAAAACAAAAACATCGGTCAGTACTGCAGTACTGAATTACACACATCTGGCTTCTCTTATCTTCTATTAGTGGAGTGTTTAGTTTGCGCTCGATGAGATTGTTTTGGATCTACTCGTCGGCAGCATTTCCCACAAACCTATCGACAACAAACGAGTTCGTTCACTGTGGTGGCGACGACCATTAACTGTTATTTCATCAGCAAATTAAGCTTCTAAACCGCCGAAGGATTCTAGCAGGAGATTACAGGTAATTGGGTTTAATTTAATCTGAAGCCTTGTTTGGCTTTCTATTAAAGCAACGTACGGAGAGAGTAAGTGTTTTGGCACACTTCGGAATGTTGATTAATCCAGAGTTAATCAGAGTTAATCAGGATAAAAGGCAACAACGATTAATCACGATTATATGTACCTGATCTATGATTAATCATAATAAATCTCAATGTCAATTAATCACGATTAATCGTTATTGATCAACAACTACGGTTTGAATAATGTGATAAAATTGATTACCGCACTATATTTTTTACTACAGTAGTCCCTCGCTATGTGCAGTGTTTGAGTATTTTTATTCAAAAAAATTTTTTTTTATTTTTTTAATTCCCCCTGTTCCTCTACAGGGGAACAGACCAAGTTTTTTTTTTAGTGGGTGGAGGTGACAACCCACCTACAGTGGTGTAGCAGGGTGTGATTACTGCTCATGACCACTTGTCCTTGAGAGCCACATCCTTATTCTAATAAGATTGCCTTTCATACTGCGAGCTGACCATGTGGGGTGTTGTTATTATGAGCAGCATGATAGGCAGATTAGCATGTCTCATACTTACAGAGTCACCGTGATAATGGTCCCCCTGAGTCGCTCCAGTGTGTTAGAAATAGGCTTTAGAGGACATTCTACTGAGAGACTCTCGGGCTAAGCTGACTTTGTGGACTGTGCCCTGAAACCCTTACGTTACTGAGGAGAACTTCACCAAGAAGAGGACATCACATATGGGTTTTTTTATTTTTTTTTTTATGCGTGACCCCAGTGGAAATTTAATAGGAAATACTTCCAATTTGGCCATAGATAAAAGAACCGAGCAGTGAGAGACACTAAAAAGAGATAATGAGAGACAGGAGTGGAATAGAAATCCAAATGTGAAGCTAGGAGAGAGGAAGATGAGGGAGGATAACTAGAAGGGCAAGAGTACAATCAAGGAGCATAATGAAGAAGAAAAAAACAAAACAAAAACAAACTAATGGTTAAATGAAAAAAAACCCCAAAAACAACTAATGGTTAAACGGAGACGGTGGAAATGGAAGTGTATACCTGACGTTGGTGTGACGCTGCACATACAGGTTGTGGAAGTTGTTGGTGCTCTCAGTTCGACCGAAGTTAGGGCCCTGCAGTCTCTGGATGATCTCAGCCTTCATCACCCGGGCTATGTGAGCGGGCAGCAGGGACAGCAGGAGACGCTCCTGGAGACACGGACAGAGGGGAACCAGTGAGACGCTTACGAGAAGACGTAAATATGAGAATTCAAATATAAATGTCTCATGTGACACGCTATGATACCTCTCCTCTCCTCTGATAGGGGTGAAGCTGTATTCACCGTCACTGAAATTCAGATGCGAGACGATTATGAGAAGCGAGGAGGAAATTGAACGTTCGCTTTGTGATTGACCTGACGATGAATTTATTAAATAAGAAGACGCAGTTAAATCACCGCCGCAGGGATGGAGTAAACATTTCAGTCTAAGTAAATAAGTGTATAATCCACCGGGTAGTAGCTGGAGGTTTGGGGGAACGTGAGTAAGCTCTAACGTCAACATCTCCTCTGCCTGGAATACGCCAGCGTGTTCTTCAGAACTAGAGTTACTTCACTTCACTTCACTTCACTTCAAGTACATTATTATTTAAAAAAAAAAAAACCAACATGGTGATTTTCTAATCTAATTGACCTAATTCATCTTCCACATTTTCAGGTCTCAGAAAACAGATTCCTGCAGAACTATATTTCCTAAATAGCATCAGTGAGACGGGGAGAATCTGGAGACTCACCAGTGTGGGAGCACGATCCATTACAGTTGTATATCAATAAAAATGATGGGCTTTAGTTTGAATTTAGCACATGCGGAGGACGGCTGCTCGAAGATGTAGTGTTCGCGTGTGTGGCTTTAGTGTGTGTGTGTGTGTGTGCATGTCAGAGAGAGCAAACAGCAGCCTGGAGGGGTGTGACTCATGAATGCAGCTCATAGCAGAGAGGGTCATTACATTGTTCACACACCACAGGCTCTTCTCCTAAAACACAGCAGCAAATTAAGTAGAGAGAGAGAGAGAATGAGATGCAGAAAGAGAGGGAGAGAGAACGCGAGGGGGGGGCAGGCTAAAAATGGAAACACACACCACCCGCATATATTTACTTATTCAGCAGCGATGTGATATGAAAACCCCACTGTGGCCATGCAGAGAGGCTGCAACAGCGTGCAGAGATGTGGCTTCATTAACCATGTGTCTGAATAATGAACTAAAGTGATCTGTGTTTAGCCACTGAATGGGATTCGGTGCAAATTAACTCAGCATTAATATGTGTGCTCACACACACACCCGGGCGGCAGTGTATGTTCGCAGGTGCCGTTTGAGTGTCCGCCCTTGCTTGGGAGCTACTAGTCAAATGACCAGGCCAGAGTGACCAGCCTATATTAAAAATGTAATATATATATATATATTTCCTCATATATACTAAACATACTTTTTACATATAAAATATATGTTGGTGTATTGTGATGAAATGCATGTAGCTGTATGGCATGAAATCATATATGGTCACTACTACATATATATTTATATATTTATATATTTATATTATTTAAAAGGTGCCCAATATTATCTAGTAAAAATGAACCATCCTGTCGACTGTGAAACTTCAAATGTGCTTTGTTTCATTCAAGAATGACAAATTAAAAAAATAATTATACAGCACGTGGAACCGTGCAACGTCGTACAATGTGTGTTACGTGCCGCAAAGGCCACCAGCTATTAATGCGTGAATTTGTAGTTAATGTCCCTGCGTGAAAAGAAGGTCCATTGTCAGGGTAAAGCGGCTAATGTCAAGTAAATGTCACGGCAAAATGTCACTTCAGACACAATTGACTTGCTGAGGCCTCC